CATAACCTAATTTTGTCGATAACTTATTGGCATTTGGGTTAAAACCATTAATTCACTCTACGGGCAAATGTATTTGCTTGGTTGAAAAGCATTGCCTTAGCTTCTTTGGTTCCTCATTTAAAGGCGTAGCAATCTTTAATGCTACAAGGCTAGTGACAGGGAGATTCAAGCCCTTCAAATCATTAACTAACTCATCTTGCCTCAAAGCAAATGTAGATTGACCTTCTTTCCTACTTGACATAGGCACATAACAAAGAATGGGACTTGGTTAAGAAACGTTGGCTTCATCTTCTTTCTTCTCTTTGCCTTTATTATTTTCTTTTTGTGCCACCTTTTTTGTTTCTTGCTTTGGATTTATTTCCTTTGTAGCTTAAAACATAGCTTCTAGTGCATTCTTTTTTATAACTTCCTCAAGATAAAACTTGGCATTAGTAAACTAAGATTCAACTATAGAAAAAAAAATTGGAATCTATAATAATTGTTCCAACTTGACCATTTCTACAATACTAGAAACATTGGTGAAGTGTAGATGAAACAACACCATTCTCATTTATCCATGGCCGTCCTAAAAGCATATTATAAGTTTTTTTTGCATGAATAACATGAAATAATACACTTGATTCCATATCATCGATTAGAAAATTCAATGTTATTTTACCAATAGCTCTTTGCCCTCCTAAATTAAAACCTTGAATCTTTACTCGACTTTGAAGGAGTTCTTCCTTTGAAATCTTCAAGTCCTTCATTGTCTTGATGGGAAGTGTATTTATTATTGATCCATCATCTATAAGGATTCAATTAATTTTTGGTTCTTAAGAGCAACCAACCACAAAGAGAGGATGATTGTGAGGCTTTGATTCCAACAAAAGATCCCTGTCAGAAAATGTAATTTTTAATTAACAAGGAGTATAGCTTGCAGATTTTGTCTCTTAAGGACTTATTTCTTCTTCTTTCTCTTCAATGTCTTCATCAATTTGGTAACTTGTTTTAGGCATGAAGTTTAACTTTCCAAATTCTTTTAGCATAAACTCAATAGGCATCATAGGAGACCTTAGTTTTTGCACAAACTGTTCATCTTCTTGGAGGTGAGGAACTTGAGCTTCCATCATTTTCTTAAATGAAGGCTTCTTTACTTTATTTACCACCTTTGATCTAACTGAAGCTTGTTTTAGCAATGAAGAATTTTCTTTTCCTTTCTTTGACGAGTGACAAGAGTCCACCCTTTTTCCTCTTGGTCTTCACTCTTAATGCTTTGGAAATCCATCTCCTCAAGATGACATGTATCATTAGAACTTAGCATAAAAAGGAATTTAATGTCCTCTTTTGAGTAAATAGACTCCAACAATTTAGGATTGATTGACCCAAATTTATGGGAGCCATATAACCATTACATGGCTTGAGTTTCCAATTTCAATAAGATTCAAAGTCACATTATCGTCATCAAATTCAATAATTCCTTTATCATGTAATTCCATAACTTTGTCTTTAAACACAAAGCATTTCTCGATAGGGTGACTAATCAACTGATAATGCTTACAATAATTTGGCTCATCAACACGATTAACTTTCTTAGGACGTTTCGCCTCTAGAAACCTTATCAACTTAGCTTTCAAAAGATCATCAAACATCCTTGCAACCTCAAAATCAGGAAAAAGATATTTCTTCTCTTGTCTTTCTTACAAAGTTGCATTTATCTTAGGCTTCTCTTGAAAAGATGTTGAACTTGGAGAATTTCAATGGCATTGTGTTAATGACCATTGATTCTTTACTTTCAAGCTTAGTGCTCTTTCCACCCCTACGAATTTTAAACTTATTTTTAGATTTATTTGGCTCATGAATAAGCAAACTTTGATCTCCAGATCTTGGAATACTAAGTTCCATGTCATGAGCTCATGCTGCCAATCTTCAGTCTTTGGGCTTAATCCCTTGTAAAATATATCGCAATCCCCACTTCATTCCTTGGATACACATATTAAGTGTAGATGCCTTAGAAAGTCATTCCTTACAATTGAGACTTAGATTTGTCCAACGATCAATATATTGGATAACTGGATCATCTTTCCACTGTCATGCATTAATAAGCTCAATCATACTAACTACACAACATGCACTATAGAAACAATTAAGAAATCCTCGCTTCAGTTGCTCCTAATTATCAATTGAACTTGGTTAAATATCAATGTACCAATCAAAAGCATTTCCTTGTAAAGATTGCACAAATTGTTTAACCATAAGATCCCCTTCAATACCAGCATTGTCGCAAGTTTTCACAAAATGGGCAACATGTTGTCTTAGATTACCCTCACCATTAAATTGTTGAAATTTTGAAGGATGGAAATTTGCAAGCATCTTTATATGATCAATTCTTTGTGTATGGCTTAAGATAGGTGTAAGATTGTTGAGTACTTGTTTTATCTTGATCCTCAACTGCTCTTTTTATAAATTTCTCAAGTTGACCCACATTAATTATGTCATCTTTAATAATTTGAAAAGTATTGGGAGTTTCTTTTGAAGAATGCTCAATGACCTTCAAATCATCATCAGTAGCTTGAAGAGGATTAACTTTATTTTTTTGTAAAATTTTCTTCATTAACAACATTTGGTTGTTGCAAAGGTTGACTTACTTCAGTCAAATTGTCATGAGTGCAACAATCAAATCATCTTTTTCTCTTTGTTTTTTAGCAAGTCTTGAATAATTTGAGCTAAATTCGCAATTTGTTCCTTTAACGAGGTTGTGCCAGTTGCCATTACTATCATAGTGCTATTATTAGTAGTAGCAGTTGGCTTGAGAGCAATTGGTGAAAATCCAATGCTTGGATAACTATCTTCATTATCAGAAGATTTCAAATCATATCTTTCTTGAGGCATAACTTTAATATATTTTTATTTTTTAAAGACATTTTATCCAATAAATTTAGGTAAATGAATGAAAGTTTTTAAATATTTTAAACTTAAGGACATTTTTGTCCATATGAAAAAATTTGTAGAAGTTATCCTACATAATCCTACAAAGTTCCAAATATAGGATGAGATAAATTTTTTATACAATCCAAAGAAGTGACAATGAGATGGGACTTGTGTTGTCTTTTCCAATCCAATCTTGTCTTATCCCATTATTTTTGTCTTCTCCAGTCCTATCCTAACTTGTATTCCAAACATGCTGTAAACTTTTTAGCCGATCTAACTTTTCATCCATTTTCTCACCAGAAAAATAAAAATAATGCAAATAACGAAGGATTGAGGCCTTTTGAAGACGGATTAATGCAAAAAAATAGTTCTTTACGAGATTTGATACGATGAATTTTGAGTTTGCACCAAAATAATGTTAAAAAAAAAAAAACAATATGATAGAGCTAATGTCAAACAAGGAACAACATGAAGGGGATGAATGAGGACACAACCCTAGAGGTTTGCAAGTGTCTTGGTCCTTCAATCCAAATCTTGGACTCATAATCGAAAGAGATGAGAGACCAGAGATTGTGATGATGGAGACAAGGAAGAGAAATTGCTGGTGATGAACTGATGACGGCTGAGGATAAGAAATAAATGGTGATGATGAAGTGAGAGGAGAAATGGATGGTGAAAGGCCATGAAGAAAGAAATGATGTGTTTTTATGGATTTCTCTTGGATGGCTGCAGCAGAAAAAGAGATGTTAAAATACTTAATTGGTTCCTTAATTTTAAAATTTACTTAAAATTGTCTTTTAATTTTAAAAAATATTGAAATTATCTATTAATTTTAATTTTTAATACTAAAAAAGAAATATCACGTAACTCGTTATTTTATTACAAAATCAGTTTTTTTTTAATATTAATGTCATGTAAAATCAAATAATCATATTTTGTTATTGTAATATATTTTTATTTACATATCATATTGATATATAATCAAAATTGAAAAACTAAATTGGTATGTATAATTAAAATTTAAAAATTAAACTGGTATTATCTTCAAAGTTTGAGAACTATTTTTTATTGTTGTACCTATGATTTTGATGATTACAAAACACATTTGAGTGACTAATTGGTTCATTTAAATGTATAGTTAAAATGTCAAAAGATTGCAAAGTAAGTAAACTTGGACTGCACTAAAAATGGACCAAAAGGCTTGAAAATGTGCACAGAGCCGGTTGTTAAAACTTGCAGTCGGCTCTGGAAGCTGCAACCGGCTCTATGGGTAAAAACTTAAAAGTCAATTGTTTGGCGCAAGCGAAGAAAAGACACAAAACCAACTCCAACTTTGCAGCCAGCTGTGAGGGTGCATTCAATGCACAACGATTGAGTTATTTGAAGATTATTTAATGTGTTTAAAGTTGGAATCCCAAAGTTAGCTTTATGATTTGCAGCCGACTATGTAAGAAAACAGAATGTGCAGGAAACCCGCAAAATTAGTTGTAGAATTTTTAAGTTGGCTCTACAGAAAAAACAGGATGCGGGAAACCCACAGAGTCGGCTGTAGAAAATTTAAGCCGACTGTATAGAGCCGGCTCTAGGGAGTTAAGTAGGTTGTCCTGACAATCCTACAACTTGAGCTTTGCGTCTTGCAGAGCATTAAATGACCCCCAACAGCTAGTAACGGCAATTTTCAACCTTAGAGTTATAAATATGGTTGGTAGAAGATCTGAAACAAGTTTAGAGAGCATTGCATTGAATATCTTTACCTATCTACATGAGCTTTAACTTGAGTTTTTGATTTTTGAGAGATCTTTGCTTATAATCCTCTTCTTGATCTATTTGTGAGTGATCTTGGGGATGTGATTAATCCTTCAAGAGTGATCTATAGGGAGGGGTCTTGGGGTTTATCTTGTAAAGAGGTGAGATTTGAGAGAAACACCCTTCTTTTTGTAAAAGGATTGAGTGGCTCCTTTAAGCCACCCTTGATTTTGTTAGTGGAAAGTGTGGAGCAAATCCTTGGTGTGTGAAGCCAAGGTAAAGGACTAGATTCAAAGTGGTTGGACCAAACCTCTATACAATCATTGAGCAAGCTCTTCTTCTCTACTCTCTTTAATTTTGGTGTTGTGGTTGCAAAAGGGGAGAATTTTTGGAACTTCAATTCACTCCCCCTATTGGAGTGCATTGAGTCAACAATTGGTATCAAAGCAAGGGCTCCAATTTGAAGGTTTAACCACCTAGGAGTTGATCAAGGATGGCTCAATTTCAAGCTTCTCAACCACTTGAAGGTTTGTCTACCACCAAACCTCCTTTCTTTGATGGTACTAATTATAATTATTGGAAAAATAGGATGAAGGTCTTCGTGCTTGCAAATGTGCCCAAGGCATGGATTGTGACTATGAAAGGTCCATATGTACCTATGAAAGTAGTTGGGGGAAAGTGAGGTTCCAAAAGAAGAAGTTGAATGGAATGATGAAGACTTAGAGTAGATCATGATCAACAACAAAGCAATCAACATGCTCCAATGTGCTCTCAATCCAACAGAATTCCATAGAGTATCCAGGTGTGATACGGCTAAGGAGATGTGGGGCATGTTAGAGGTAACACACAAAGGAACAAGCCAAGTGAAGGAGTCAAAAATCAATAGACTCATTCACATATATGAGCTTTTTAAGATGAAACCGGAGGAGAGCATTCAAGATATGTATACAAGATTGAATGATATAGTCACCAAATCTCAAGGCTTTTGGTAAAGTTTATCCTTCTCAAGAAGTGGTGAGGAAGGTTCTTAGAAGTTTGCCCAAGAATTGGGAAGCCAAGAAGACTGCAATTGAAGAATCTAAGGATCTCAACACTCTCAAGCTTGAAGATCTCATTGGAAAATTGATGACATATAAAATAAAAGTTCAAGTTGATTGTGGAGTTGAAATAGTTGAGAAGAAGAAAAAGAATGTTGCTTTCAAGGCTAGCAACCAAAAGGAAGAGAGTGAAGATGATGCTAGCAATGAGGAAGACATCACCAAATTGGTTTCAAAGGAAGTGAAAAAATACATGAAGAAGAGCCTCAAAGGGACATCCTCTAGAAGAAACAAGGAAATTCACTATTCTAGAGGAAGAATATGTAGTGATGATGATAGAGGAAAGCCAAGCAAGAAGCATATCAAATGCTATGAGTGCAGCAAGATGGGGTATTATAGAAATGAATGCCCTCAATTGAAGAAGGGTGAAAGGAAAAACAAGAAGAGCATGAAGAAGAAAGCTTTTACCGCCACTTGGAGTGATGATGAGGCTAGCTCAACGGAAAGTGAAAGCTCCTTGGAGAATGGTGTTGCAAATCTTTGCTTCATGACTCAAGAGGATAGCAACAATGATGAGGAGGTAAACTCTAACTTCTCTAGTTCAATTAATGAAAGTTCCTTTGAGTATTCTTATGATGATTTATGCAAAGTTCTTGATTGCTCTATGAATGATATTAAGAGACTAGGGAATGAGAATCTTACTCTTACTAAAACCATTTCATTGCCTAAAAATGAGATTGTATCTCTTTCAAAACAAAATGAGGTTTTAGTTAAAGAAAATGCCTCTTTAAATGGTGAAATTGCATCTTTAAAGAATGAGGAGTCTAATAATGCTTTAAAAAAAGGAAAATGAGGATGCAAAGAAGGAAAATGAGGTTTTAAAGAGAAAAGCTTGTGATCTTGAGAATGTGATTTCTAAATTTACCTTGAGTAAAGAAAAATTTGATTCTATCTTAAAATCTCAAAGAAGTATTTATGACAAAGGGGGCATTGGATTTGATTATTCTAAAAAGCAAAAGACTTTCAAGAATTCGTTTGTAAGAGCAAGTCAATCCTCTTTTCCTAATGTTACTTGCTATTGTTGCGGTGCAAAGGGACACTTTGCCTATGTATGTCCTTTGAAGAGATTGATAGCTCAAGGTAAAGTGAAGCAACTTTGGGTTCCAAAAGGAACTTTAAGCACTAACCCCCATGGACCCAAGCAAATTTGGGTACCAAAAATCAAAACTTAATTTTGTTTTGTAGGTAAAGTTAATGGCAAAGTCATAAGAAGAGTAAAGTTGATCTTGATAAAGACTTATGCTTCAACAAGAACGTTGGAGTGAAAGTGCAAAGAAAATTTGTTTTTAAATGCTCCACTCATATGCTCAATTGATATTATTTATCTTATTGCCTTTATTCATTGAGTATAATTACATTAACATGACTATTAATTATTTGCTTATATGTGCTCACTCTTTGATACATATGCTTGTTGAGTATGATTTCATTTGATGTGTCTTTTCTAGTATTGATACAACCTTGTTGATTGCTACAGATATTACTTATATCATATTTACATACTTGACATATATGAATGATTAGATTGATTATCTATCATATATAGTTCATAATGAGCTCTTGATGGTATAAGTGATTTTCAATGTCATATGTGTCACTTTGAAGATGGTTGATGATTTGATTTAAATGAGCTATTTTAATAACTTGTCTTACTTTACATGGTTTGTCTCATTCAAATTTACTTGTCTCATTATTTTCATGATTTTAATGATAGCACTTGGAAGTTAAGCATGACCTTAGGAAGACTTTTACACTTGGAAGTTAAGTATATTAGGAAATTTGTATGTTTGCTTTGTGATGGATGATTTTGATGATATTTGATTATGTGCAAGTGTATGCCATGCACTTGAATGCTTGCATAGTCATGGTTGATTTTAATGAATAAGATTTTTGATATTTATTATCATATGATATGTTGCATATAAAGAGGAGTAATATGTGGTATTCAATGAGACTAACCCCATTTGCTCTAGAAAGAGTTGTGAAATTGTGATGTAGATGTTATTGGGTAACAAAAATAAGAATGAGCATTAAAAGCAATAGCATCACACAACTTCCATGTGAAGCAAGTGAGAAGAACAAGGTTGAGGAGATGCAACAAGCACAAAAACAAAGGTTATAATTCTACCCAAAGGAGAGATTTTATAAAGTAATGTGATAAATGGTAATACATCTCAAAGGTAAGAAATATACATGTTATACTTAATGATGGCATTAACATTGTTTTTGGTGCTACTAATGAGTTTTGTTGCAAAGAATTTTTCAAAGCAATGTTAAGTAAACTTGAGACAATTAAATGTATTGAAACTTCAAATAAAATTATCTCAAAGATAAGATCTTCACCAATCAAAGAGAACATACAAAGGAGATGCACAAGCAATGGTCTCTCCATTGAGGCATTCAATTGCTCTAACAATAATGGAGGTAAACCTATCAATTTCAAACTCTTTATGAGTATGATGGACATATATATTGCTTTATCATGAATGCATATCACATTTGTGCTATTTCATTTATTTTTTATTGATCTTTATGACTTAAATCATAGATGATTATACATTCTTGGTATGATTTTAATGAGATTTTTATATGAGTATGTTCATGCTTTCATGAGTTATTTCATTGAAGGGGAGCAATTTGTGGATGTTGTGCTTAAATCACATATTTTTTATGCTTTAAAGGTTGTATGCATAAATTAAGGGGGAGTTTGTTGATTATGCTTATATGCTTTTCAATGGATGACAAAAAGGGGGAGAAAGTATGCTGAAATTTTTGTTTCCATATAAGCTCTCATTGAAATATATATATGCTTTCATTAATTTATTTTCCAAGTGTTTTGTCATCATCAAAAAGGGGGAAATTGTTGTACCTATGATTTTGATGATTACAAAACACATTTGAGTGACTAATTGGTTCATTTAAGTGTGTAGTTAAAAATGTCAAAAGATTACAAAGTAAGTAAACTTGGACTGCACTAAAAATGGACCAAAGGGCTTGAAAATGTGCAGAGAGCCGACTATTCCAACTTGCAACTAGTTGTGGAAGTACAGAGAGCCGGCTCTAGAAGCTGCAGTCGGCTCTACAGGTAAAAACTTAAAAGTTAGTAGTTTGGCACGCGTGGAGAAAAGACACAAAGCTGGCTCCAACTTTGCAGCCGACTATGAGGGTGCATTCAATGCACAACGGTCGAGTTATTTGAAGATTATTTAATGTGTTTAAAGTTGGAATCCTAAAGCTGGCTTTATGATTTGCAGCAGGCTGTGTAAGAAAACAGAATGTGTAGGAAACCCACAAAGCCGGCTACAGAATTTTTAAGCTGGCTCTACGGAGAAAACAAAATGCAAGAAACCCACAAAGCCGGCTACAGAAAAGTTAAGCCAACTATTCAAAGCCGGCTCTAGGGAGTTAAGCCAACTATCTTGACAATCCTGCAACTCGAGTCCTGTAGAGCATTAAATGACCCCCAACAACTAGTAACGGCTATTTTCGACCATGGGGCTATAAATATGGTTGGTAGAAGATCTGGAACAAGTTTAGAGAGCATTGCATTGAATATCTTTACCTACCTACATGAGCTTTAACTCGAGTTTTTTATCTTTGAAAGATCTTTGCTTGTAATCCTTTCTTGTTCTATTTGTGAGTGATCTTGGGGGTGTGATTAATCCTTCAAGAGTGATCTATAGAGAGGATTCTTGGGGTTTATCTTGTAAAGGGGTGAGATTTGAGAGAAACACCATTCTTCTTGTAAAAGGATTGAGTGGCTCCTTTAAGCAACCCTTGATTTTGTTAGTGGAGAGTGTGGAGGAATCCTTGGTGAGTGAAGCCAAGGTAGAGGACTAGGTTCTAAGTGATTAGGCCAAACCTCTATAAAATTATTGAGCAAGCTCTTGTTCTCTACTCTCTTTAATTTTAGCGTTGTAGTTGCAAAAAGAGAGAATTTTTGGAACTCCAATTCACACCCCCTCTTGGAGTACATTGAATCAACAATTTGGAACAAAAAATTAAAGTTTAGAAATAATTTTTGTACTTTTTGAAATTAAGGGATAATTTTGACATAAATTGAAAAGTTGAAGGACCAAATTGGTATTTTAACCAAAAAGAAGCTAAGTTTTTTAAGCTTGTGTTTTTACCAATTTGTTTGGGAATATTTTTACAAAAATATACCAATTTATTATTTTATACCATTTTTGTTTTACCTTAAAAATTATTTTCCCCTATTTGATTGGCTTATTAAACATGAAAGTTGTATATTTATTTAATTTATATAATAACACATATTTACAATGGTAAATTCAAAATAATACACTATTTTTTAATATTTGATATGTATCATTCTACTAACAAAATTGGTGTGCATGCCAATGCAAGATTAACAAACTTAGTCTGAATGGCTATACAAACTCTACTATTTGTATTAGCTACGGGGTACAAACTCTATTATTTTTATGAGCTCCAGTGTTGATCTCTTAGAGTGCATTTGAGATTGTGATTGGCGTTTTTTTTATAACTATACAATACTTTTAGATATATGTGTATTTGATAATTTTTTTAAATTGCTTTCTCAAAAACAGTAGAAAGTCACAATAAATTCACAATAATTTAATATATAAAATCAAAAATCTCATTTTAGAGTTTTTTAGTTATGATTTTTACAAACAACACATAATATTTAATGCAATTACAAGATTACTCATTAAAACTCAATCTTATTTAATTCAATTAATTACACCATAATTTATAAAATTGTATTTAAACATAACCTCTCATTTATTTGAAGATTTCATAAAAAATTAAAAATTTATTCCCTTTTTATTAGTTGTTCCATTGCTCTCTTGTGAAACCCAAAAAAAATTCATTATAAGAAACCTAAAAATCCTAAATTATTAAGAAATAGTAAATGTTGTCTATTTTAGTAATTATATATCATATAATATTTTTTAAATTTTAATTAATAATTAATAAAATTTACCATATATCATTCACAATACTTTTAAAAACTGAATAACTAAATATCAAAATAATTTTTAATTATAGTTATAACACAATACAACATAATTCGGCATAGTCATAATCATAACTACATCCAAAATATCTCACAACAATTCCAAACGTATACTCTTTGTTGAGAAGTTCCTAAAGGGCGCACCGGTTGCTTCTTTGATTATTCTGTTACCGTGTTTTGCAGCTAACTTGGATGTGGAAATGAAATAATTCTTTGTTTTGAATTCTGGGCATTGTTCTGTGTCACGCCCCAGAACTCGAATCTGAGGACGTGACAGACGCCGTGACAGACACCGTGCACTCGTGAGAAGGTCCCACAAATGCACAAGACTCAGAACTTATCATATCACAATCTGATACCACCAAAATTTGAAGATAAAATTATAAAATTCGTTCTAATATCATAAAATCTCCAAATACACTCTAGCTTACAAGATCATGATTTATTCCTAAAATCTATATCAGTCTCGAAATGGCATGCCAACAAGTGCAATCATGAAAAAACAGATACAGTACGGGAACGAAATAAACGTCTACTCTATAGGTCATGGCCAGTGTTTAAACCTCCCACTGGCAAGCTACACTATTTGCTGGTGTATAACCCCCACTAGCAGGGTCACTCGAATGAACTGGTTCTATCAATAACATGTCGACATGTGCTAGCGTTTAACCCCCACTAGCAGGATCATTAATAACATGACCACATCGGAGACAAAACAAGCATAAGTTAACAAAAAAATCATAATTCATCAATCACTTTCAATTCACCAGGACAATCAATTAAATTTCAAGTACGCATGATCAATTTTATGAAAAGCATAAAAATTTCACTTCAAATCAGTCATACTTACTTTTGCATAAAACGGGTTTAGTCCCGCCACCACTTCAAAAACAAGTCAAAAGATACTTTTAAAATTGAAGGGCATTACCATAATTTACTTACTTTAATCACATAAAACCGAAAACTTGCTTTCAGTGCTAAACTGACAGAACGATCAGGAACTTAATCAAAATATCCAGAATTAATACTGTTCTATCACAAATTCAAAGTAAAATCATCATTAGGGCTACCCCTAATCACGATGCTATTCTTATCAATCTCCACATGATCAGATATCTCCAAATTTATTCTTATATTACGAACTAAACATTTAAATCTCCTTTAATTGTTGGCCATCGGTGAATGAACAGTGACCGCGAACAGTGCTCGCGAACAGTAACTGATATTTCCAGAATTCAACTACAGCCAGCTAAAAGACCAGAAAAATGGATATTTCATCAGATTTTTCAGAGCAGAAACGGACTGAAAAGGAGCAGAAAACAGTAGCAAATTGCAGAATTTTCTGCATGAACAGTAACTGGTACGCGTGAACAGAAACTGCACTTCCAAAATTGGCCAAAACGATGGCTAATTCACGGGATTTTCGCACAAAACATCTAGCAGCCTAATTAACTAATTTTCTACATGAATTAAGCAACAAAACACACTTAAAATGCTCTTAATTGCTACCAGAATTCATCCCCAATTTTCAGCCAAATTCGGACATCACAAGGCAGCAAATAAATGGACAAATTCGGGGCTTGGAGGGCTGTCCACATACCAGAATTTCAGCCAGCAGAACCGGAGCTGCAGTTGGGGGAAGAGGTCGGTGGCAAGTGCAGCGGGAATTCACGCAATCTACCAAAATTGGGAGAACCAAGAGGAATTAAGGTAAACCCAAGCCAAACCAAGTGAGAAAAGGGGAATTTCGAGCTGTTATCTTACCAGAAACCAGGCCAATTCGCCCCCACAAGGTAGGAGCAGCCGGCCGTGAAGAAGCAGAGCAACGCAGATCCGGAAGCTTTCCTGCAGGGGAAGATTTGAAGGCTCCAAATCTTGTTCTTGAACAAGAAAAGAGGAGAAATTTAAGGCTTCCTATCGGTTTTTCTTCATGGGAGGCTGTCGGCTTGGCTCGGGGCCTTAGGGAGCTGCAGGGGACGGGAAGAGCAGAAGCACACGGGGTGAGGAAGAAAGAAAGAAGGAGAAAAAAAAAAAAGAAAAGGAAAAGAAGCTGATCCTTATCCAAATTTTCCCTCTTTAAGTCCCTCAAGTTTGGACATTTTGGCTATTAAACCTAAAACAATATTTTTTCACAATTTAATCCTTAACTTAATGCTAAAATATCACAAAATTTTGGGGTATTACATTCTGTACTTGAGAAATTCCTGTTGGTGTTCTGTGTTGTTGTCTTTTATTGCTTAGTGTTTACTTAAATTTTGTGATTGCTGGACTAGTAAATGATACCTAATGCTGATTTGTGATTTTCTATATCCTCAGTTGAGAAGTTCCTGAGGAGAGCATTGATGTTTCTTTGATTTCAAGCCCATGGGAATGCCTTCTAATCCGAGTTACTGGTTTTACTTAAATAGTTAAGAATAGGTGTTTAACAAACTTATTTATTTTGAAATCATTACAAAATAAGTGTGTGGTAAAATTTTATATTTAGCAATTTGGGACTAGTGGAAGCGGCTAGGATTCAAACCACTAGCGGATTAAAAAAGTTACCTAAGATAGCTTTTTATATCAAACTGCTAATGGATTGAAATTTTTAAATTTTATTTACAAATTTATCCATTTTAATTTTATTTACAAATTTATCCTTTTTAATTTTTTAATTTTTTAATTTTTGACCATGGTTTTTGATTAGTACTTATCTAATTACTTTTAACTTTATTTTTTTATCTTTAATAATTTTAAGTGATTATTGTATTTTTAATTTTACATTAATTTATCAAAAAAATATATATTAGCTTAAGAAACAAAATTCGCTAATTAGACAAAAAGATTAAAATTTTTTAAACTTTATTTAAAACTAATATAATTTTTTCTTTATTAAAAATAAAAATTAGTATATAATTACACTTTTATAGTTTATTTCTTAATTATTTTTATAAATTTAATAATTTTAATAATAAAATAAAAGAAAAAAATACCCTTAATTGTTTTTAAACATGTTATTATAAGTTGTTTAATTTTAAATAACAATTACTAACTTTGTATAATTAAATAATTATATTAATCAAATTTGTTATTTATTATCTGCAATCGACTTTCTACTATCTGCCACCTACTATATCTTAATTGCTACTCTCTACCTGCTACTGCTATTACTATCTATGGCCCACTATCCATTATTCACTGAAATTCAACCATTATACCAAACAAGTCCTATGTATGCAATCTCGGTTTCATATTGATTTAACACTATCTATAAGAGATTTGACAGATATATGAATATAATCTTTTAAAATATTTTAATTAATGATGTCATCCCCTCGGTAGCCTCAGCTCTCAAACAAATCCACTCTTCATAAAAATTGAACATTTTCTTTGGAAATTTATTTGGGAAATCTTGTCATCTAAGGAGGCTTTGCAAAGTCATGGGGCGGATATTATGTCTTGCTGTGTATGTGATCAAAATGAGGAATCCAATTATCACTTATTCTTTAAATGTTACTGGAGTACACAAGGTTGAGCAGGTTCTTGTCCTTTTTTTGATATACATGGCATCAGGTCTGATTCTTATCTAGATGATTTTTTGAATTCCTTCCTAATTTTAAGCAACAAGCATAAGGAATGTGTTGCAGTGACATTGCGGAGAATATGGAACAACCGGAACAATTGCTAATTTCAGCATAGATGCCCACAACATGATCTTACAGTTAATTGGATCTTGAAATACATTACAAAATTCACAAGTTTGGCTGAAGTTGGAAACCATATCACACAGTTGGAGAATAAAGCTTCACCAATTGTATGGCAGCCACCACAAGGAGATATAACAAAGATTAATACAGATGCTACCGTCCAACAAAATCAGAACACAACCAGTTTAGGGGTTATCATCAGAAATAGCGAAAGTAATGTTTCAAGGGCTAGACAAAGGACCCGCACTTTCAGGGGGTCAATTCTTTGAGCTGAGGTTATGGCTATCGATTTTGCACTACGATTAGGAATGCAATTTGGCCGCAAAAGAGTTGAAGTTTAATCTAATAGTGCATAGGCGATAGCAATAACCAACTCTTTCGAAGAGTGCTATCTTCCTTTTAAAGCAATTGTTGAAGAACTTAGAGTTAGGAAGTCTTATTTTGATTTTTTTTCTATTAAACATGTAAAGAGAGACTACAGCGTGCTGGCTCACAAACAGGTTCATCTTTTGTCTTCTTCTCCACCTTGGGAGGATGTTTGGTTTGATTCTCTACCCTGTGCTTTATGTCCTGTTTTGGATCGTTAAGCAATAATATATCTCTTTCTATTCAAAAAAACAAAAAAAAAAAAGATGCCATCACTGGCAAATAGTTTCTGTAACAGACGAAATCTCCTATCTATATTGAGTGCTAAACATTATCCCAGTATTTGGTAAACTATGATGTTCTGGCATGGTAAGCTCATTTTTCATGTTTCAGTTCTTCAGGTGTTGATCAATTCGTCACTGACTTATTTAGATTGGCGTTAGTTCCCAAGTTGGTCATATGCAGTTCATGAGATTATCTTAAGGTTAGGTAAATAGTGAGTATAATTGAGATAGATAATTTTTAAATGGTTTAGTGCAAAAGGATTTGAATTCTCGGGTTGCTGTTCTTTTCCCTCCCAATTCTGGTAACCTTTGAGTTGGCCCTTTTTTGAGACTTTAATAGGATTTCTTTTTGGATCCTTGTCTGATTTGCTCATTTGGCTACAAAACATTGCCCCACCCTACTATATCCTGGTTCAAATTTGTTCTTCCTACACAATGTTGAGTTGGTTAATTTGTCATTTTGGATCTTTGACTAGTCAAGGTGGAATGGTTTAGTTAATGATTCATATATCATGAAAGCAGGCAGGTAGCCTTCGGTGAACTTTTGTTACATATTAAATTTGACTTTCTTTCTTAAGCCTCTCATTTCATTAATTTAGTTTTTAAATGTCATACCCTCTATATTGCCTTAGTCGAAGTGTCATTTACTTTAAAAATCAACTTGAGTAATAACTGAAGCAAAGCCTCCATTCATGTTGATGAAGAAAACTTAAACCAAAAAAAAAAAAAAAAAAAGAATCAAAAAAGTGTTTAGCAATATGTTTGAAATATATTATACTGCAAAAAATAGAGTATTGGATGATGAGAGGCTTCCAATAATAAGTGAGAGTCTCTCCATCCACTGATTAATATTTAGCTAAGTTCTATGGTTTTTAAGATGAAATATGGAGTTCTAACAAAAAACAAATAAAATTAGTAGAAGGGGGGCCAGGTTAATGTGAGTGGGTCAAGTTGAAAGTCCTCATAGGTGGTCAACTTAAGGTCAAAGTTAAAGTCAATGAACTTTAAACTTACTAATAAATAAATGTTATTTTGTAAATAAATTTTAAATTTTAAATTTTGAGGTTAATCCCTAAAAAAATTAATTTTTTTAATGTATTAAGCAAAGTAATCAAATCAATTTTGTACTGGTTGGTACGGTTGGTATGTGTCGGTTTTAAAATAAACCAAAATGATATAGGATTAAAATTTGTTTTGGTCAAATTTCAATTTTTTCAGTCAAATTCTGATGTACTGACTAGTATTTTGCTTACCGAGCCAGTACACCGAAATTACACAAGACAATTCAAATTAATGTTTTGAAAACCGATCCGGAGGTCAAATTGTTTTGACCTCTAGTTCTTAGTTTGATTGATTTAACCGATAAAACCATCAAGTCAATTGAATTGAATAAATATAATATTATGAAATAACTTGACACATTGTATGTAATGATTTTGTTGGTTTGTTACATTTCATCATTATGCAAAAGACGCAACTTCGAGTCTTGGTTGCATTAAAACGCAATTATCATGTTTTTTACCTCTAACTTATAACATATTAATGGATTTTTATACATGTAAAATATACAATAAATTTAATTTTTTAATTAATTTATATAAACAATTATAAAGGTAGACTTAAATTAATTAATTAATTAATTAATCAATTAAAGTATCTATGTAAA